GAGGCTGAGGCAGGAGGATCGCTTGAGCCCAGGAGTTTGAGGTTGCTGTGAGTGAGGCTGACGCCACGGCACTCACTCTAGCCAGGGCAACACAGCAAGACTCTGTCTCAAAAAAAAAAAAAAAATTTACTTCTTAGGATGTTACTATATGTATTGTTTCCTTACTAAAAATTCAAGAGGCAAGTAAATATTCAGCATTCGCAAGCTCATTCTATTGTGTGCTTTTTTGGATTATTTAGATTGCAAAAATGAAGCCTGGTTAAGAATGTGCTATTAAATAACTAATGTTGTAGAATCATAAAGTTGTGGATCATTTAGGCCAACCCCATCATTTTACAGATGGAGGGTAATGATGTCCCCTTTTTTGCTGAGATATACTGTCCCTCGTCTTGTTTGCAGAGAGTTTTGTGAGTGTTACAGGCTTATCTAAAAACAAAAATTATTAGGACTATTCCCAGTCTTAGTTCAGTCAGCTGTGTGTCTCTGATTGACCTGAAAGAGCTAAGAGAAGGTGGTCAGAGTTACTATTAATTCCTTGTTTTATGATTTACAGCTTTGAATTGGATGACGATTTCACTGCCATGTATAAAGGTGGGTTCTCACTCAGCTGTTATATTTCCGATAGAAGTGTTCCTGTGTGAGCGTGTTACTGAATTTCTCTTCCTTGGCTCTCAGTTCTAGATGTCGTGAAGGCTCACAAGGATTCCTGGCCCTTTTTGGAACCTGTGGATGAATCTTATGCCCCTAACTATTATCAGATTATTAAGGTAGAGGCTGTCTTTGCAATTGTACTTACTGTAGCATATGTATCTTTGTTGGGTTTTGTTGTTTGTGTCTTATTTTGTTTATGTGTTGTTCCTTAAGGATCAGCATTGCTAGATATATACCAGGTTCTTGAGCAACTCACAGTGTCATGATTTCTTTGACTTATAGGGACTAGATGTTTTTCTCTCCAGCATATTTTAATTAAAGAGTTATGTGTCCTATTTAGGTCCCCATGGATATTTCAAGCATGGAGAAGAAACTGAATGGAGGTTTATACTGTACCAAGGAGGAGTTTGTCAATGACATGAAGACTATGTTCAGGAATTGTCGAAAATACAATGGGGAAAGTAGTGGTAAGTGGGGAAGGCGTTTGCACCAGGTGCACATCTGCTATACCTTTATAATCAGGAATAACATGCCTTCTTCAGAAATACACACCCTAGTGGTTCAGACATTTCTTGAGAACCACGAACAGAATGTGCGTGAAGAGCCTGGGATTGGCCATTACAGCCACTTACATGGTGTGTGCCAGGAACTGTCTCCTGTCCCCTGGGACAAGTGGCTAACTGGGCACAGGTTATTTCTCATCCTAGAGGCCAGTCGGGGTGTAGGTTGTACCGTACCTTTCTCACCACTGGCGGGGGGAGCCTAGATGGAGCTCATTGTAAAACCGTTTGGAGAAGTTACAATAGGAGGTCTGTAATATCAAGGTATAAATGGGCTCCAGGCATACTTGACCTTGAAGTCATTTATGCATTAACTCAAGATGCCAGCTAAGCAGAGTCAGTGATTGCATTCAGTATTTCTTCAGTTTAGCCTTAAAAGAGTTAAAATTTGACTGGTTTGAGATAATATTCCTGCAGTCACCATCCCAGCCATACAACATAAACTGTTGTCTTCTTCACCTTGTGTCCATAGCTCTACAACATAATGTGCCATAACGGTGAATTAAAGTTTACCCCAGGCCAGGCACAGTGGCTCACACCTATAACCCCAGTACTCTGGGAGGCCAAGGTGGGAGAATCATTTGAGCCCAAGAGTTGAAGGTTATGGTGGTCTATGATCACACCACTGCATTCCAGCATGGGCGACAGAGCAAGACTTGTCTCAATTTTAAGAAAAAAACCAAAAACAAAAAAACCCAAGCTTCACCCCAGTGCATCTTTTATTTATTAGAATTGTCTTTTGTGGCCTGTAAAAATTATGCTTATATTATGTCTTTCTATAGAGTATACCAAGATGTCTGATAACTTAGAGAGGTGTTTCCATCGGGCGATGATGAAACATTTTCCTGGCGAAGATGGAGACACAGATGAAGAATTTTGGATCCGAGAGGATGAAAAGCGGGAGAGGAGACGGGGTCGGGCCGGACGAAGTGGTGGAAGCCATGTTTGGACCCGCTCCAGGGACTCCGAAGGGCCCAGCAGGAAACAGCAGCCCATGGAGAACGGAGGAAAGTCGCTGCCGCCTGCACGCCGGGCCGCCAGCTCCGGGGACGACCAGGGCAGCAGCTCCACACAGCCCCCTCGGGAGGTGGGCACGTCCAACGGCAGAGGCTTCGCTCGCCCCCTGCACTGTGGCGGCATGCCCAGCCAGGCACCCTTTTTAAACCAGATGGTGAGGAACCGCTTAAACTCTGTCGTGGCTTCACCTAGTTGGTGAATTCGTGGGGATGTAGAGGCTGTTCAGTCGGCACTGCTTACAGAATAATTCTGTATGCAGAAAGTCTCTTTTTTCCCATTAGTCCTTTTATTTTATTTTTTATTTTTCTTTTATTTTTTGGGATAGAGTCTCACTCTGTTGCCCTGAGTAGTGTGCCATGGTGTCAGCCTAGCTCACGGCAACCTCAAACTTCTAGGCT